CTGGGTTTCAAAAAAGGTCCCAGTGCAGGGTCATAAGTGCATGGATGTACGTGACTTTGTAGTGGTGCATGCCGATTCAAGGTGCCTGCTAGTCCACTATGAGGGGGACTTTGGTGCGTTTCTTCTTGTGGTTGCCCATGCTCCTCACACAGGCCACCAGACACAAGAGAGAATGGCATGGTGGGAACAGCTGACCAAGCTCATCAGCACTCATCGCAGAGGTGTGCATGTCATTGCCCTGATTGACGCCAATGCCACATGGGCAGGGCCTGCCAACGAGCAACTAGGGGAATTGTATGAAGAAGCCCCCAACAATAAAACTCTTCTGTTTGCTGACTTCGTAGCGCAGCATGAGTTATTTGCCCCTTCAACGTTCCTCGATTGTCAAACAGGACCTTGGTTTACCTGGACACACGCACGGACGGGTAAAGAGCACAGAATTGATTATGTGTTACTACCTGGTTCGTGGGCATGTTCCTGGGTCCAAACTTGGACAGATTCGTCAGTGACTGTGGGGCGTGCAGGAGTTGACCATACAGCGACGGTTGCAGAGGTTTACTGGGAACAGAGCAGTGTCAAGTTGAAGAAGAAGACCCGGTACGACCGGGAGGCAATCATGCACCCGGAGAACCGGCATGCAGTGTTCGATATTCTTGACCGATGCCCTCAACCTGCATGGGGGACTAATGCTAGTGACCACGCTGTTATAGTCAGCCAATATTTGCAGGGTGAACTTGCTGAAGCTTTCCCAGCTCTCAAAGCCAAAACCCCCCAATACACGAAGAATGAAACGAGAGAGATTTACCAGGAACTGGTCTCCGCCAAGCGTGCAGGTACACAGATAAGACTAATTGCACGATTTCGTACCTTGGCCTTGTTTTTCCGGAGCTGGAGTAAGCAAGTGCTCAAAGAAGAAAGCACAAAATGGATGCACGAGTTCAACTGCAAGTTTGCACAGATCACCCAGAAGATCCGCCGGCTGACTGATAATTTGCGCACTCGTCTCCGGAAAGACCGATCCGAATTTCTTGAGGCCTTGGCCCGAGAAGTGAATGAGTGCCCTCCTGGTGAGATATTCAGGAAGTTGCGCCCGATTTTGAAATCATCCAAGAAGCAATCGAAAGTGGTCCAACCTCTGCCAAAGTTGGTGAACCTTGATGGAGAAATGATTCTGAGTCGCACAGCGCAAGAGAAGCGATGGACTGAACACTTTGCATCCATCGAGGCCGGACATGTAGTAGATGTGCGGCAATTTGTTGACCAACAACTCCAGAGGCAGGCAGATCGATGCAAGCCGTCTAGCTTCGCGAATGAGGACATTCCGACGCTGGCAATGGTGGAGAACGCCATTCGAGCAGCCCATCGTGATCGAGCTACCGGACCAGATGGGCTCCCAGCTGAAATTTTCAAAGCCATCCCTGGGAAAGCCGCCAAACTGCTATACCCATTAGCACTCAAGCTCGCACTTCGGATTGAAGAGCCAGTCTCCTGGAAAGGAGGATACCTTTTCCCCCTTTACAAAGGGAAAGGAGCGATGAGCGAGTGCTCTAACCACAGGGGTATACTGCTGATGGACGTGATGGGTAAACTTACCCGGTCAGGCCTGCGCAGATGGATTAACAGCCCCTATCTCAGTCACGGACACCCCATGCAGCTGGGGGGCCGACCAAACCAACAAGCACAGTTTGGTGCGCAACTTACCAGATCCTTTTTGAGATGGAGGAAAGCATGTAACAGTAGCGCTGCAGTATTGTTCGTCGACATTGCATCTGCTTTCTACAAAGCACTTCGTGAGGTGGCCACAGGGGCTGATGTTTCTGACCAGGACATTGCCAAAGTAGCCCAGCGACTTAGGATCGGTCCGGAGGTAATGCCTGCACCCTATGAAGCATTACATGGCCGTTCGTCCTACGCCGCACTCACATCCTCAGTTGCGAGACAACAAGTGCTTCAAGAAAGCTTGAGCGGCACGTGGTTTTCGATAGACGGCAGCACCATTGTGGCAACGGAACAGGGGACGCGACCTGGTGACAGTTGGGCAGATGTGGTCTTCAATGTCTTATTGTCTCAGGTGCTGCTCAAAACCCAGAAAATTCTTGGTGATGAGGGGCTCACAACCCCGGTGATTGGTTTTGAAAGGTGTGTATGCCCGCAATCGATTCCAGAGAGTCAGGTTTCCTTGCTGCAAGTCACATGGGCCGACGACATTGCTGTAATGATTAGTCTCAGAGAGCCGGCTTCAGTGTGGACGGACCTTCCGAGAGTTACTCAGGTCCTAGTTGATGAGCTGCACGCAATCGGGATGGAAATATCTTGCGGAATGGCTAAGACAGCAGCACTCGTCCTTTTGAGAGGTGCTAGGTCGGTTGCTGTCAGAAGAAAGCTGTTCCGTCAACCAGAAGCAGAATTGCCTATCGTCACAGAGAAGCAAGGATTCCTTTTGCCATTAGTGCCGCATTACAAACATCTTGGGGGCATTTTGTCTTTCCGTGGAAATCTGTCGCAGGAGATTGCTGTTCGATATGCCAAGGCGAAACAAGCATATTGGAGAGCAGCCAAGACCATTTTCCGACCGGCTTACATTTCCATGACTATTAAAGTCCAACTGTTCCGAACTTTGGTGATGTCGGTGTTTTCGTGGGGAATTGGTGCTTGGCCCGCGCTGAATGCCGCAGACAACAAGAAGTACGTCACATCATACTGGAATTTGTGGAGACTCTGTTTGCCGAAAGACCGGAAATTAACCTCCAAAGGTGCGATTTGCCAACTCCTGAGTTGCCCTGCTCCGGAAGACGCATTACAAGCTGCCAGAGCCAGGCACTACATCACTATGTTGCACCATGCACCAGATCCAGTGTGGTCTGTTGTCCATCTTGACAAGGAATCAGCTCGGATGTACCAGGAAGCAATCCGATGGGTGCAAAAAGCACTCAAAAGGGAGAAAGGTTTTCTTGGACTAGAGGCTGAAGTGGCTTACCGTGACATCTGTACCGCAGGGGGCCCTAGTTGGAAGGCAATTGTCAAAAGAGCCTCTGAGCGATGGCGTCTGTATCGGTTGCGTGAATACCAGGTGGCGGACTTTCATCGTCGAATCCTTGGAGCCACAAAGGCTTCACAAGACACCCACAACCCTCGAACACAAGGGGGATGGCGGCACTACTGTTTGGTGTGCAAGAAAGGATTCGAAAAAAAGAATGCCTGGTTTTTACATGCAAATATAGTACATGCATATCGCACTATGGAAGGAGAGGCTGTCAAGGGAACTACATGTTGGTGCTGCGCCAAACAATATGCCAACACCTTGTCCCTCAAACATCATTTGAGATATAGCCAAGTGTGTTGTACATATTTCTGGAAAAACAGAAATACCCTCCCGGACCAAGAGACTGACTTGAAGCATCGGCATCCCCAGATGCCATGGGTACGTACCGGGGAAACGGAGGTTTGTGCACCCGAGTTGATCCAGAGAGATAAAATGAGATTGCGGAATGATTTGAACCGAACTCTCCAGGAATTTGTTCCTCCCGAATGGGATGAGCATTTTGTGACCGAGCTGGCTAATGCCTTCGTTGCTGAGGTAACTAGGGTGATGCCTGTGCAAGATATGCTAGCTGTTCTCGAAGAGATGGCTTTTGAATTCGATAAACCAAGTCAGGAGGATATCAGAAATGCTTTCAAGCAAGCAATTCGATTTATCAAAGAGCTCTTGCTTGAGAAAAAGCCAACGGAACCCCAGCCAGAACTCCTCACCACTGAAGAGGAGAGGGGGCGGGTCACGATCAAGCCAGTGAGTCCACGAACTAGCTTCTTTTGTCAAGAAATCTACGTTCTGCATCTGTTCAGCGGTCGACGGAGATCGGGAGATTTGCAAGAAGCATTAGAAGCGTTGTGTCTTCCAGAAGGCACCAATATGTTCGTAATCTCGCTGGATGTGATGGTTTCAGCCAAGCATGGCGATCTCACAAATCGTGCACAGCAGGAAGCAATACTTCAGGTGATTCGTGCAGGTGCCATTGCGGCAGCCTTTGCAGGACCTCCTTGCGAAACGTGGTCAGTTGCTCGGTTTGAAGCTGTACCAGGGCATCATAAGCCACCGAGGCCGCTTCGAACACGTGCGCACCCCTGGGGACTGATTGATATTAGCTTCCGGGAAGGCCAACAGGTGGAGATTGGCAACCAGCTCATGGGATTTGCTACTCTCGTCATGCTGGAAGTCGCCATTGGTGGGGGCTTTGCAGTGCTTGAGCACCCGTTGGACCCCCACGAACTTCGTACCCCACACAAAGAGGCGCCAAGTGTCTGGGGCACAACTCTGATGCAATGGTTAGGGCAAGCGGAACTCTTCCATCATCTGAGAGTCATGCAAGGGCACTTCGGCGCTAAAAGCGCCAAACCGACAAATCTACTTGTAGCCGGACTTTCAGCTGAAACAACTTCGGCTTTAGAGAAGGCGAGTAGAACATCCAGTTGCCCCAAAGCTTCATCGATCGGATTGGAGGGTCGTGGGTGGGCCACCAGCTCGCTCAAAGAATACCCGCGGGACTTTTGTTGTTTCTTGGCCAAGATGTTTGATCGATGGATGACAGGTGCAACATATAGGTCAGGCCCACCACCTGAAGATGTACGCTGGCTTAAGGCCATGCACATCACGGAGGTGGATAAATATTGTAAAAAAGGGCCAGACTTCAATCCGCTTTAATTAAGAATTCATCTCAGCAAGGCGCTGAGTCTACGGACACCGTGCGCGAATAGAAAGAAAGAATATTTCTTATTTCAGCAAATAAGTCGTCCCTTCTCCTGTCATGGCCGTGTAGTGGGTCCTTCGAATTACATACAGTTTGCCGGTCGGCCATTCAGAACCACTTGAAAGAACTCACTTGCAGTTTTTTTGTTATAGGCTCCAGGCTCAAACGAGTGGATTTCACCGCGTGGAAGCAGCAAGCCACAATTTGCCCAAATTAACTGAGAGCATCAACGACAAACGCATCAAGCGAACATGCCTGCCGCCCATCAACACGTTGACAGTCAGCTCGAACTGACACCAACCTGAAACCCACTCGCTCTGGGAAACGCAGCTCTCCTTGATTCTGTCACACTAGGTCCCTACAGACCTGCTTCCTAAAAAGAAATGGTCAATCATGTGTCCGTGTCTGAGTCCAAATTCAGCAAGTTGCATACATCGTGCGGTTACGCCAAAGCAAGGTAGTAAGCAGTCAGTGCCGACTGGTCAGTCCGTCTCCTCCGACCGACTGGTGAGAAATCAACTTCCGGCCTCGAGACTTCCAGCTGGTATAGTCCATCAACCGGCCCTTTTCATGGTGCTGAGCAGGTGCCAGAATCAGGAAAAAGGAACCTCGGTTCCGAGAGAAACAACGCTGGCCGTGGAGAAAAAGAACCGCCGTGGAACCTTGGAACTGTCCCATCCTTTTCACGTGTCTCCCGGCTCTGCATCCAGTCTCCATGGCTAGTGTCTGAGTGTGGAAACACCAAGGTCACCAAAACAGCTAGGCTCCCAATTGTAGCAGCAGTATATCTTCGGCTACATGCCTATCATCACGATATTTTACAAATAGAGACAGTGACCACCAGTCTCTCGGTCATCACGCAAGAATGCGTCTCGCAACTATGCGCCACGTAGGTGTGGAGGCTTCGGATGGCGTCCCGCAAGAACTGCTCCTGCTCCTGCTTGGCCTCATCACCTCGAGGTTCGAGGAATGCTGCTCCGCGATAAGTCATCTGGCTATTGCGTCATAAAACACTTCAGGTGTATATTATGAGCTTCAGATATATAACTAAAGATTGGAAGGTTTCGATACAGCCAAACAAAGGCCATCGAGTTTCGTCAAAGTTGGTGATCCTGCAAGTGATTGCACCCAAGCTGCGCTTGCGCGGACCATCTACACTACACCATGCCACAACCGAGATGAGGCACAAAAGCATAGCTGGTGCTCACATGGGATAGAGCTGAGCACCAATTTTGATTGGACAAATGGAACACCCGGTTTGAGAGGAATAGAAAGGGTCCATTCACTGAGAATTGATCCTGAGTTGAGTGACAGTGTCTGGGCTTTCAAGAAAACCTCATTTGCCTCTACACTCAACATACCCGGTGTGCTTGCTCAAAATAGTACCATGTGACATGTTTTTCTTCACATGTTGCTGATAAATCATCTGAAAGGTATAATCAACACCCGCAAAAAATCAACTGAAACACTTCACTTCCCATGGAAAAAAAACAACAGATAGTAAATCTCCTCGGGGATTATCAGGGCACGACACGATGCAATTGGCTTCCAACAGTAAGACCTTCCAACGCACACCCCCCGAAAAAAAACGACATGTTGGGAGCGTGTAAGGGTGCCCAACATAGCCCCCAACACAGCCCAACATAGCCCAACAAGGAATTTCTCTTCTGCCTTGTTTGGGAGCTTTCAACCTCTCGCACAAATCATCTCCAAGGAGCTCCAGCAGGCACATTCTTGTGGAATGCACCTGGGCGAACGGCATCGCTCTCGGCATCGCTCTCATCATCCCCAGCCCCTTTCGCCTCAAATCTGGCAGAAATCATCAAACTCTGTAATTAGGTCGATGCAAACGAAGAGTATAACGACGATGTTCAGGAGGACCAAGGACTCCAAGGACTCCAAGGACCCTGAAACTTGTCAAAATTCCTGAGAGACCGTTGGGAGAGCCGACATAGGCCTGTGTGTTGCCTCCGCTTGGGAGATCTGATGGCAAGAAGTCTTGGAGGCATGCCCTGTGTGCCCCAAAACAGATTCGGCATGATTCTTGATTCTTTCTTTCTTTGTTTTTAATGTGAGAGGTGTTGGACAATGACTGGAATGGCATTGTGACTGTAGCCTGGCTCACAAACATCTGTTTTACTCACATATCTTAGCCGGAAGAATGATGCAGCTTGCAAACATGTTGTATACTTGGATGCGGTGAGTCGGTGAGCTCGCCTTCTTAGAGCATCTTGAGCTGTCGGCAAATTGAGATCGCTCCCGCGAGCTGGGCTTCACCAGTTTCCGCAGCCGAACAAGGGTCACCAAAAAAGGAGTCAAAGGCCAACACGGGGAAATCATCTTATATAGATTGCGCAAGAACCGAACAAGTGTGGCCCAAGCCAAAGAATACCCAGGGCCTTTAGTTTACATTTCCACACCAGTGACCTAGAGCAGGTACCTTTCCAGTAGCATACGCCTGTGGTTCCTGTCCGACAGCAAAGGAAGATGCAAAGTGTCGCAAACAAAGAAGCAGCAATCTTGCTGGCAAATGTGCCAAGAAAAAGGCCACATTGACTTGCCAATCGAGCATCGGCCTACTGTCCAGTTTAGTTATAATATATCATCAGCCTGAGTGTACTAGAAGACCCAGCGTCTGCCCGCAACAGGATCTTGTTTCCTTCTCCCAAAACCACTCTCCTTTCGTGAGGAGGTGGACTCTCAAAACACAGTCCACCGGGTTGGCCCAGTTGGCCCAACGAGGTGCATAAAGTCGATCCAAAGCCAACCTGGTGCATCGTCTCGACCGGCGGTCTCGTGCGTGGTCTGGTCTCATTGCCAAGGTGTTCTGAAGGGGGCGCATGCATTCATTTGGCATACCAACATTTTTATTGGGCACGCAGCAGTCCACTAATTTCTGTTGTAGTTGTCGCTGTTATTTCATTGTATAATCATGGTTACACTCCTGAAAGCTAACATGGAAGTGGAAAACCACATGTTTGTAGTGGAAAATGGTCTTCCAAAGGGCCATTTTCCACTTCCATGTTAGTTCCAGGGAGTGTACGTATATGGCCACATGCAAATATGCTTCTAGGTATGGTTATATGGATTGCATAAACACATTTCCAGCCACTGAATCAAGAGGAAACAAGATTTGCTGGTTACAAATGCCGCCCAAGATCTCGCCTTGTCACCAATGTTTGTCGCTTCACCCAGGGGATGCTTCAGGCACCCGTGGCCATCACGACCACACGCCAGGCATAAGACATCTTAGGTGGGGACCCTAATCTTTTGTGTCCCCAAAGCACTACTTCCGACTTCATTCACTGGAACATCAGCCCTGGTGACTCTCCAAATAGCATCCGAAAATGAAGGATGGGCGACAAAACTTTCCCAACAGTCTCCCTACTTTCCCAACAGTCTCCCGGCTTGTAGGGACCCTGTCTGAAGATGTCTGAAGGATGATATACCATGGGATATGACATGCGTGTTATTTTGACAGATTGTATCATATGTGTATCCCTTCTGCCTATCTATCATTGTCTATCCATTATATCTACAATGATTGTTGATGCTTTGAGACTTTAGGCACCTCAAGTCTGTTTTGCCACCCAACATTGGAATCAAATCATTCATTACTCATCATTACTCCATCACCTTTGTTTAAACATGTCCGCATTCACTCTTCATTCATGGGATCTCAGTGCCACTAGTAACTAACCATGTAAGGAACCAAGGCCTGATTGATTTCTCTTGGGAACAGTGTTTGACGGTTGACGTTCGGAACCATGCAACCAGTTTTGCGTTTGGGATCTGCCGGCCGCTCGTCTGACGACATGCCGATCTGCCACCCAGCCTTTGGCCATCTCCTGGAGATCAGAATAGCCCACATTCTTCTGATATCGCCGCATCAGTGCCACCGGGTCCTGATGCGAACAAGGAGGGTGTTTTTTGAGAAGAATGAGGTGTCCAAGCTGAACTGCAGCTTGATGGAGCGCAGCTCAAAAGCAGAGTGACACCAGATGACCCCAGAAGTGAATTCAATGCAATCCTCTTCAACAATTGTCCAACGTGTACCTGTAGATGCTCAAGAACGCTCCACAAAGGAAGATCACAAAACCACCGAGTTTTGCAGGGCTTCGTACAACCACCAACCAATCTTTTGGATGTTTGTCCCTGAAGCCAACAGATCCATAGATCGATCCCGGCTCATCCAACCGGTCCAAGCTCCGCTATGCTCCAGATCTTGAGGCAAGACACATAGATGAGCTTTAAGGAGTGATCCCGGAAGCCACGCAAGGCCTGACGCGTGGTCTGCGACATCGAGGCAGGCACTTTATAATAGGCAGATCGAGCGTAGGATTGGACATAAGGAAAGCTTCTTACTACTTGCTTGCCCATCTGGCAGGTCAAAACTCTTAGGTCCTGACCCGCAGAGGGCCTTCCGATCCACTTGTGGCCTGGTGCCATGTCAACAAGTGCATCACCTCGGGCCCTCATCTCTGCAGGTCTACAATGAAAACAGCAAGTTGAATATATAGGATTATCTAGGGCTCAAGAAACCCACCTCATTCCACCTCCAACACTGCTCATCCACCACGACTTCAAAATACTTCAAAAAGGTGCTAATGGACCCAGCCCCTCACTTAGTGTTTAGGACTTTGGGGATTTTTAAAAAGGGACCTTGTTTAAACAAGAACCTGAGTGTTTGAGCATTGTAACAATAAGCTATCTGAACTCAAGGTCTTTTCCCATTATAGAGACGTGTTTCTTTCACGGATCTCCCCACCTTCTGCAAGGCATACAGTTGCTTCTTCCTCAATGTGCTGGGTCGGGACAAATTGAAAAGAATCGGGACAAGAAGATCAGGTAATTAGGTTTGCAAACCGCCAAGATGATCATGGCACAAGACGGCACAAGTCACCCCACAGGAACACCGAAAAGTATGTTTGTTTCACTGGTGGACCTCTCCCTGAAGTCTGCTGAGCATCTGGGGATCTGGATGTTGCAAGCCAGACCACTCGTGAGAAACAAAGGTCACCTCAGCACACGCGTCGCGACGTCGCAAGTCTTGCTGCGCGAAGTCGCCTTGGCAAAGCCCGAGGCTCATTGACTCATTGGATGAGGCCAATGGTCCAGTACTGACTGGTGCGACTCGTAGGGAATGAGGAAAGACCTCCCAATAGAGATTCCTTAGGGTCCATTCCCTCATATTCCCTCGTTCCTTGCTAAGCACCAGTCAGCTCATGTAGGGCACAAAACAACCACCAGTCGTTTGAAAGGAGGATTTCTGCATCGGTTTTCGGATCAAAAGACCTGATTTGAAGGGATTTGGTGGGGCGATGTGGGGCCTTCAGGCCAGTAGTTGGTGGCTTCCTACCATTCACAAAACCAATCACCAAAGACCCTCAAAGACCCACAAACAGTTAACCTGGTTCTTCAAATTGACCGAACTTGATCAAGACTTGATCTGGTTTGAGGTCCGCCAAGGTCCGCCTGTTCAAAGGTCTCCCAAAAGGTCAGCTCGGCTTATTCTCGGGACCGACCTCCGGAGGTCCGACCGGATCCAGCGATTTCCTCATCCGCGTGACTGGGTCCAGCTCGGGCTGGTAAATCTGCACCAGGCGCTCCGCCACCAACTCTTGGTGAGGCCTCAAGCTCCAGTTCTTCCGAGCGGGCCGCGCTGCCGAGGAAGGACTGGGAACTTTGTTGTTACAGGACGCAGCTGATACAATGCTAGCCCCAGAAAAAGGGGGGGCGGAACAGGCCAATGGAATCTATAAGCTGACCCACTATTGCCAATCATAATCCTCCGAGCAACGGTCGACACCTCTTAGTTATCACTGTGGTTATTGAGAGGGGGGTATCGTTTTCATTGGATATCTTGCAGTGCCGTATTAGTGTTCCAAGGGTTTGGCGCATTTGCCCTCTTAGTGACTACTGCCCATCAAGTTTTGCTTGCGGACTTCCCAAGCGGCCTGCCAAGACCGAGCTTGCGTTGAACGTGCATTTTATTAGCTGAACACCTCCACACCTCATGACCTCCATCCGTTTTGTCCGCGAGTTATGTCTGCGAACATGGTATCATTTCAGATATGGTTTGGGATGTCGCTTTCAGATGTGTTCAGCACCAAGGGTTTGCCGACATTGGCAGTCCAACGAGAAGACCTCAATCTGGAGTTGTTAGACAATTGGGATGCTCAAACCACTAGATGAGCTGGTGACCAGGCTTGGCGGCAAAGCTTGGCAAAAAAAAACACAGCACATGCTCAAAGCCAAAAAAAAGAACTGGCCGAGTTAATATCACAATGAATGTAGGGCATCGTTTTTTCTTGGGTGCCCTAGCATTTTGTAAGGTTTTTGTGACCATGAAGCATGGGCAAGCTTTAAAAGATTTAAAAGCCATGACCATCGCCGGTGAAACTCACTCGTGTTGCGTTCAACTTTTGCAAGGGGTTCGTGTGTGGGCTGGCGTGCTGGCGTGCGTGCGTGCGTGCCTGCGTGAGTGGGTGGGTGGGTGGGCAGGTGGTTATAACGTTCGTTTGCACGGTTCTTTGTCGTGGACGTGTTGTACTTGGACTCTTTGGTTGAAGTCTTGACGTCTCCGGTTGCTCCTATTGCTTTGTTTGTTCAGGAAACAGTCTTTTTGGAAGATCGTTGGCCTTTTTCGCTTTTCCGAGCTACCTTCGAAAGATTCTTGTCTGCCGCTACTTCTGGTCTGTGTGGTGTTCGGTGTTTTCGCGCTCGTTGAAGATGCGATCATCATCTCGCAATATTGTTGTCATCGGCTGCCTTTGTTCTGCAAGGGACTACTGACGAGGCCCCTAGGCGGTACAGGCCCGCACCCTTGATGCTCAGTGGAAATGTTTGAAAGACTTAAGGGTTGTTGTGCACGCGGCCAAAGACCAAGAAACTCGACCTCTTGCTTCTCCACTACACGCGGCAATTCCAATGGCAATGTGTGCAAATGATTGCAAATGAATCGGAACTTACTCCAAAAGACATGGCAAAACCATGTACACGAAGATGTTCGGATTAGCCGTTCTGCGTCCAGCATCTTTAGACTTAAAACTCAGGTTTTGAGTGTTTCGACATCATATTATGAATTAAGAGTGCCATCTCACAACACCCTGGCCTTCACGGTGAATTTGACGTTTCGTGTTTCACATAAGCCCCCGCAGGGGAGTTGATGGCATTAAACCGACACACGTTCCAGGTCGGCAGGCACTCTCCCTTGCGCCACAAAAACACGGCGCCGGACACCGAGACGGCCAGGCCTCATGGCATGCAGTTCCAAGACGTCATCCGTGGAGATCACCCACATCCTGAAGCATCTGTCGCATCTGTCTCGTCTCGGTGACGCTCGTCGACACGCTCGTCGAGACGCTCGTCGAGACGCTCGTCGAAACGCTTGGGAGGGGAGCTGAACCCGTGGAGCTAGTGGTGTTGAATCTGGCGCAAACATGCTGCTTGGACTCCTGGATTCAAGCGAGGAGTCCAAGAGGGTCTTGGAGGGCCTTGCCTAGACCTGTTTACATCGAGGAGCTGTTCGGGAGCGAAGAGTCCCGCCCATGGTCAGCGATGCTACTCGCAGAAAATACTCTCGACTCAAATGTGGTGCACCTGCTCCAGGTTGCAGAACAAAAAGTCTCTAAGCGTGTGTGAAGAGTTCGATAATGGGATCTCTTTTTGCCACAGCGAATGCTGTGGTCCACCCACTGTGTTGTCGCCATGTGCGGTCGCTCGCCATGTGCGCAGTCAATGTGTTCGCAGCAGCAAAACAGGATTTTTACGGCATTCATTCAAAGTTCCGATGCAACATACCCAGAACCTCATTAGTAATGACTCATTGTAGACTGATATATAGGCAATACTTTCTGCCCAAGAAGAGGTTCTAGGTATAGAGCTGTTGAGAAACACTGGCTCCACTCAGGACTTCAGGGCTTCCGGGGTCCATCTTCTGAACTTTCAATTGACCACACTCGTGGCGCACGGGCAAACACCATCTTGAATCTTGACCAGCCATGGACATCCACGGCCATCGGACGTTGCAGATCCAGAAATCCTGCAATGTTTCACCAATGATTCGAACTCCAGCTGGCAACCACTGGATCCTACTGAAAAGCACTATGGAACTCCGATGGTCTTGTGTCAATGCTTCACGGTATGCATGCCAGGGGCAACATGGAAAACCAACCTACTATATAGGTTGGAGGCCTATTTGGTTGGAGGCCATCGCTACTAGGGCCATCGCTATTAGGTTGAGGTCATTGCTATACTGGGTCTTCTTTCACTTCTCAACATCATCCTCCAACCATCTCATGCTGTGCTCCAATCAACACCGATTAACCTCCGGGGTCGCCCGGGCTCGAACCCCGCCCTCCGGACGTCCCGACCCGACCCGTCGGGGCTCGGCTCGGACGGCTGGTCATCCAGGGCTCGGAAACTCCTTCGGCAAGTTGATGTTGCTCTTGGGCGAACCTCACAGCGTGCTCCGGAAACATCTGGCACGGCACACACGCCGTGATAGGAGGATGCAATGTTAGCTTTGATCTGTTGTTGTTCCTTTTCTTGACTGTTTTTTTGGGGGGGTTGGTAGGTTGCTCCTATTGTGAGTTTTTTTAGGAAGGCTCGAAGCAGTGTACCCCACTGGTGCCTCTGAGGAGGATGCCGGTTTTTTCTGTGGTGGCGTTGGTGGCGTTGGCAGGTATCTAAAGAATCGGCAAACATGGCTTTCAAGACAACAACCCAGTGCAGGACGTCTCAAGACGATTATAATATAATGCAGTCACAATTGCAAAACAAACAAGTCGATGCACCTGTAAACATGCATTGCCAAAGCATCTTATCCACTGCGATATATCTACATAACAAGCATCTATAAGCAGAGCACTATACAAAGATTTGACATGTAAAAGGATGAACAGGAAAAGCCCAAAGACCCAGAAGGTTCGTTTCTGGAAATCATGACGCTCAGTCGCTGTTTCTTGTGGAGGACGTTTCGAAAGGCTCAAATCTCATCCCAACATGAACATTACTTTTCCCTTCCGATTCTCTGCAAGACGGGAACTTCCCGTGAGCAAACCCCGTGTCCGGGCGCGTCCATATCCCCATTCCAAGCCACGGCCCCGTCCAGGAGTCCTCGGGGTCTTTGGCCGGTTGTCGTCGTCCTCCCTTCCTTGGCGACAAACCAACAACAAGCGGAGTTCAGTTCGCATAGTACTTTCACCAAAAATAGGTAGCAGCATCTCAAGCATCTCGGACTCGAACCTATATATATATATATTATATATTCATTGCATGTAAAGTATTGCAAAGCATGTATATTGAACACATTCAATTTCTCTAAACAGTGATTCACTTGCTGATCTTCGAGTTGCCATTGTACATTAGACATCAGACTATACAGGCCTGCTCCAGTCCGACTATCACACCGTCTGACGAGCCAAGTGTCGACAACAGCGAAACATGATGTCCTCAAGAGGCGTGGCTTGGCTCGGTGAGGCATGGTGAGGCTCTTGGCTTCCAATCGATCGTGAAAAACAGTGGCCCCAGCCGAATTAAGGGTGGGTTGCTGGATCCAAAAGAGCCAAATAGGCTTTATAGCAGGTCTCTAAGATTCTCTAGGACCCTAGGAACTTTGGCTGTCCTGGTGCTATTGAGCCCGTGGCTTAGGTCCAAAAACCCTGGCTGCACTTTCTTGGGCGGGTGGAGGATTAAAAAAGGCAATGCGCCGATCGGCCGGTGGTTCGGCGCGCCTCCAATGATGTAAAAAGAGTGTTGATTGTATGGTATATAATTGGTATATCATGTCATCAAAAACACCAACAATAACACAACGAAACCATCCCCCCACCCACCCCGTTTAAATCACGCGACTCACCGATGAGAAGTTCTATGATGCCAATATGTTCCATGATACCGATGACAAGTTCTATGATACCGAGGAAAAGTTCTATGATTCCGATGGCAAGTTAATTGAAACCAATGAAACTTTTTATGATACCTATAACAGCATAACCACCCACACTCCTCGCCCCCGATCAGATGGTTCGCGCACAGTCACAAAATTATCCGTGCATCTGTCAAACAAATTCCAAACACCCGATTTCCATGTGGATTTATCATCTGCACTGCGCGCCGAACCATCTGACCGGACCCAAAAACAAAGAAGGGTCAACAAACAAACAAAACAAAGAGGGATAAACAACATGCAATTAAAACAATCGACAAACGCGGATCCAAAAAAAATAAGGATGACAAAGTAAACGAGTAGTATAAGAGTCAACAGGTTGAACAAGTAGCAGCGGTAAAAACAGTAGTAGTAGTAGTAGTAGTAGTAGTAGTAGTAGTAGTAGTAGTAG